GTATGTGAGTACCCGGGTACACCAAAGGTATGCTATACGATAAGAATTTTCCAAGACCTTGGAAAAACCACTTCTGAAGCAAGAAATTTTCCGATTTTTTTTTTAATAAACCTAAAATTAATTGTTTTAAGATGTCACGAAGTTTCATATCATTATTATGTCATTAAATATAAAAAAAATCTTATTAAATAGTGAAATGAGTACAGGGGTACTCAAAGTAGACAGAAGGGTTAATCCATAGCTGTCCACGAACGTTCGTTCGTTCGTGGAATATTTTTTTGGTCTTTTTGTTCGTTCGATCGTTCGTAGAAAATGAATTGTTCGGATTGTTCGTTCGTATGTTCGTACGATCAACGAACAACGAACACGTTCGTTCGTTCGTAATTTTTGGAAATTTATTTTCTCAATGTATACAAATATTGCGATAATAAATGTAAATTGGGAAAACTTTAAATCAAAATGTTGACCCCCATAGGGAGCTACAACACCTGATCGGTTCGATGGCCTGAGTGGTTCGATGGTTCCAAATCCAGTGGAATTCTGCTGATCCATGGATTCTCCATAATGTAATTACAATTAGAAATAAATACAATTGAATACAATTAGAAATAAATACAAACGAAGAATGGATTTTTTTATAGAATATCTTTATGGAAGTTTTAGAATTCAGGTCAAATCCTGAGAATTCATGGATCAGCTAAATTCCACCGGATTTGGACTTTAGGCTATTGAACCACTCAGGTGTTGTAACATTTTGCTTATTTTTCACGATTTCCCATCGGAAAAGCGGGAAAAATCGATTTAAAGTTTTTCCAATTTACATTTATTATCGCAATATTTGTTTACATTCAGAAAATAAATTTCCATAAATTACGAACGAACGAACGTGTTCGTTGTTCGTTGTTCGTACGAACATACGAACGAACAATCCGAACAATTTATTTTCTACGAACGAACGAACGAACAAAATATACAATTATACATTGAAAACAAACGAACGGTTCGTTCGTTGGTGTTCGTGGACAGCTATAGTTTAATCCTTGATTAATATCGTTATTTATTATCTCCGTTTGGCATTTTTTACTATAATAATCGCATGTAGTTTATCGGTTTGAATTTGGTGTAATTGCCCCTTCAATTTATTGATTCTATTGTTTTGCACATATTGTCACCCTTTATTACAAAAATTCGCCAAAAATTGAACACCGCCTATGTTAAAATTGTATTCATATTGCAGTGAATCCCGATGATATGATATGATCTCTAAAATGTGATATATATATATATGAACGGTGACTTTAAGAATTTTTTTCCTTCAATGTAAATACATTTTAATCCTATGTATTTATAAGTACAAAACACTTCTTTCGAAGTTCCCAATGTGACGCAATACTGCACATCTGAAATCTGAAAATGATCTGATATAAATTTTCAGTGACGCTTGCAATCAAATTCACGAAAAATTTTAATTTTGCGTCGCCTCTTGAAATTTTTTTTTTTTTTTTGCATTTTCAATTGTTTTTGTGAAATTTCTACGGTGAATTTGTAGTATGTATGGTCACCAAAACTATTCAAAGCTAATTGCACCGATGTTTTAATTCATTTTCTTCAATTGAATAAAGCCCTCAAACTATCATTTCAAGGTGTAGTTTCCAGACCGATTATCTCAAAAAATCAAAACAATTTCTCGAAAAGATTGCTTCCATTGGATTCCTTGGGTCTGAATTATGTGATATCACTTGTCACAGTGAAGAAAAATTATAAAATCCAAGCATGTTGTAGTTGGTTATTAAAAAAAATCTTAAAAAGGTGGTCGGCCAAATACACGCTTTTTCCAATTTTGACCAATTTTGAAAAATGTTGGTTCTAAAAAATGTGCAAATTGATTCAACATTGAGTGCTCCTTCGATCTATGATAAAAAAAATCGTTATTCACACATTTTTTTTAAACAAAATGACGATTTTCATCGATTTTTCCCCATTTTTTAATAGTATGGTCATAAATGGATTAAACCATCTCCACTGAATTTTTTTCAAAATTTCTTCGCTGTATGCTCAAGGGGAGCTCAATATCTTGCCAAAGATCCAAAAATGACGTATTTTCGTTGAAAAACAGCCCGTGTACTAGACTGACCCCCAAAACACAAAAGTTGAAATTTTTTCGCTCTTACCCCAAAATACTTTTCCATATCTATTGAAAATATCAAGAGGAGAGGAGTATATATTTTTTATTCAGACATTACTCAGCCATAAGCGCTGAATAACATTCTCTCTTCTTCAATAGATATGGTGTGAAAATAACGTGTGTAAAGTTTCATGCCGAAAGCTTAACGCTGGAGGTTAACAAGAGTTCGGTAGGTCATTATGTGAAAATAAAAATACTTCGCACAACCATATCGACTAAAAATTGATGGTAATCGTCATTTACCTTCGAACACTTGCGACTGGTGAAGTTTCAAACGATTTGGATGAAAATAAAACACATTTCTATGAAAATTTTTCAATGTTTTGATCAAAAATGAAGGTTTTTTACCAAAGGTACGACAGACCTCCACAAATTAATCTCATTTGAAGCTAGAATACTTTCAGAGTGAAACTAATGTGATTCCACTTTGGTATACACCCATTTGAACGCATCGTATAGCTGGAACACTGTCATTTGCATAGCAAATTGTGAGCAATGAACGTGGGGCCAAAATATGAATATGAAACATGATTTATCCGAACTATAATTCACTTCTAAACCTATTTCAATGACTGAATTCGATCAATTTTGACTGTATAAACAATATAAATGCTGTTAGAAACGTTCTGGCCTGATTTACGCAATGATATACTGGCCTCCAAAAAAACAACACATGCAGCGCCATCTAGCGATCATTTTCGAAATTTTTTCCAATCTGACTTCAGATCTGGATAGCTGAGGTTCGTACATATTGATCATTACCTCACCTTTCATATGCACAGAAAGTAGGCCATTCGATGAAAAACTGAAAAAGTGCATTCCACTTTTTTTCGAACCTAGACCTCAGACACTTGCGTGACGAAATCGAAAAATTTGAAGAGACTGTATTTGTATGCTTAGTTTTCCATCTACTTTCGAATAAAATCAGTCTCCGGCGATTTATCAAAAAGTACGGAAAAAAATTTGCGGACAAACAAACATATCATTTCAAGAATTTCGTGTTTTTTCGTAAGATTTTTGGACATGATCATATCTCGGACACTTTTCGATCGTTTCCAGCAATTTTTTTTGAACACTATCTACAGATTTACATTTTGCAGTAACACATTACAATTGTAACAAATCATTACTGTAATGCTATTACAATTGTAATGTTAGATCTTAGCATTACCAGTAATCGCTATTGCTATTCTTATAACATTACTGGCAATGCTTTGTTACAATAATAATGTGTTATTCAACGCTACCGCTAATGTCAAAAATCTAACATTAATAATAAGACTTTTCAATACAACTTTATGTTGGAAATATATTTACAATAGATGGCGTCTATGTCTGCTCTAAGCTCATCATTGAAATTTCTCATCAACCCAATCAATTTCAATGCTGAGCTTAGAGCAGACACAAACTCCATCTATTGTAAGTATATTTTCAACTTAAAGTTGTGTTGAAAAGTCTCAATTTTAATGTTAGATTTTTAACAATACGGGTAACACATTGTTATTGTAACAATACATTACCGGTATTAGCTATTGAAATTGTAATGTTAGATGTTAGCATTACATTAATAGCTATTATAATTTTATTAACTATTACAAACATTTATGTTAATGTAATGGTTAGTAACATTACAATTTCAATGCTGGTAAATCTGTAACACTATCTACCCGAACTCCAGTTTCCGAATATGCCATTTTTCGGAAATTTATTTCTGAGTTGGGTGGTCAAAAATGGACGAAACCAAAAATTTCCTTTTTTTTGAACGCCACCTAGAGCGGTTTTTAATTTTTTTTTTGCGGATTCTCAATTTGGTGCCCGAGCACTACTAAAATATGCAAAAACCCTTTTCCAAAAGTCAGCGGTATCGATTTTCATTTCTTTACAGTATATATATATTGAAAATATCGAGAGAAGAGTATGTTTTTATTCAGACATTACTCAGCCATAAGCGCTGAATAACATACTCTCTTCTCGATATATTCAATAGATCTATTGGTGAGATCTAAAAGAACGGCTCTGTGAATTTTGGTCGCGGGAATTTTGGCCGCCAAAGAAATGGAATTTTAGTCGCTGCGACCAAAATTCCTTTTATGAAAGTTTTTTGGTCGCTGTTAAAAAGAATTTTGGTCGCTACCAAAAATTTGAAAAAGAATTTTGGTCGCGGGTTTTTAGGGTAAGCAATTTTGGTCGCTACGAAAGGAATTTTATTCGCGGTGAAAGGAACTTTGGTCGCTACCAAGAATGTGAAAAAGAATTGTGGACAGAGTATTGACAGCTGACTTGACAGGTTGCATTTTTTTAACCGAGCCAAATAAAAATGATAAAAACAAATATTTAAAATAGAAAAACGTACAGCACAGCAAAAAAAACTAAACACATCGCAAGAACAAACTACGCTGCATACGAGGAAAGTGGAGAACAGCGGAAAAGTGTGAAAATTGTTGAAAAATCAATTGGTGAATCGTGTTTGTGAGTGACTTGTGTTTTGTGTAACAAACATAACCTTCATAGAACCGGCATAACACTCACTGTAAACAGCGACATCTGTTACACGATAGCACAACAATTTTCGTAATCGCTGTAACAACAATGAACAATAAACATAACTGCAGTGAAAAAAAATGCACCGGCACTCGTTTTGGCGGCCAATATTTGGTTTGCAACAAATGCAAATCAAAAAAATATTTTGAGTGCATGACAACTCCGTATGCAACAAAATTATTGAGAGCATTTGGGCTCATTAAATATGATGAGACGAAAAAAATAGTTTACACTGATGAAGAAAAAAGTGTACGTATTCATACATTGTTTGATGATGTCTCACCACTCACATACGTGCATTGACGCAGAGAATGAGCGGAAAACCAACGAGAAAGCCAGATTGGTGAAATTCGTTGGTGAGAGAATTATCGGTATAGTTCAGAATGAACTAAAATCGATAATTGAAGGGTATCAATTTGTCAATGACACACAAAATGTCGTAACAATTGATTCCCAAACACAAACAAACAATGATGATGAAGCCGGCTATGAATCGAATGCGACTGATGTAACCGTCAAGGAAAAATCTAGTGATGAAAATGGTGCGAAAAATAAAAAGAAAAAGAAGAAGAAAAAGAGCAAAAAGAAGAAGGGGAAAAAAGAGCAAAATAACACAAATACAGGCACAAATACACAGCATGAACAAAGACTAGGACCGCAGCAACAACAACAACAACATCAAAGTGACCATTTACAGGGTGGTCAGTCAAATGTGCATCGACAACAGGAAGGTACGCAAACATCAAACCATGAATTGAGATATCATCGGATACAGCGACAACCATTTTATGGTGATTTTGTTTCGAGCCGCCGTTGGGATAATCGTCGACAATTGCATCAAAATTTGGTCAATAGGTCTTTTCAAAGACTGAATTATGTGGACAACCGACGAAGAAATGCACAACACTTTGATAATTGCTGCTGCCAAAAATGTTTCGACGATTATGAGAGAAGATATGAGGATTTTCAACAGTCTCGTCTCTCACATCGGCCGCCGGCTCAGCGTTGGCAACGGTGGCGAAACCAATAAATCTCAGCACAAACTTATCTGCGCATGAAAAATACTCTACGCAGATAAACATCCATTCACAAAATGTGAATGGTTTAAGAACAAAAATATCGGAGTTTGCAGCTGAGATAATGGTTCAACAATCGTCGATTTACATGCTACGTGAAACTCATTTAAGTGATGCAATTAATCCTGTCGACGTTTTTCCACCAATGTACGAGGTCTATAGATGTGATCGTTCATCACTCACAGAAAAGGACCAGGTACATAAAAAGGAGCACGGAGGTGGAGTTTTAGTTGCTGTCAACAACAAACTAAAGTCAGTTTGGATCGGAACGGCTGACCATTTCGGAGCTGAACAAATTTGGGTAAAGGTAGCCGGTATGAAAAGGAACATCTTTTTGGTAGAATTATATATTCGACCAGATTCAATACTCAAGGTGTATGAAAACAACATGTATGCCTTGAAAGAAGTCGCATCGAAATTGAATACAAATGATGTTTTGATTGTGTCCGGAGACTTTAATCTGCCGAAATTGATATGGTTTGTTGATGAAAAAGAGGACCCAGACATTGCAATTGCTATCAATGCAGCCAGTGAAAAAGAGAAGATAGTGCTGGATACTTGCTATGAACTGGGACTTCACCAGATCAACAAGAACTACAACCAAAATGGTCGTATGCTTGATTTGATCTGGACAAATGATGTTGAGTTGCTTCAAAGCTCCATAAGCGACTTTCATTTGTTGAAGTTTGAAAAGCATCATAATGCTATTAGTATACGATATAAAGAGCCAATCATAAAGACAACTGAAACAATACATACATATAGAGATTATAAACGATTAAATGAGTCACTTCTTGATTTAAATTGGGATAATGTTTTTGATACAAAATCATTAGAGTTAAGACTGGATAATTTTTATGCAATTATTAAGTCAACAATAGAAACTCATGTCCAGTTAAAGACAAAAATCATCAGAAAACAACCGATGTGGTTCAACAAATCATTGGTTGAATTGAAGAATAAAGTCAGCAAAGCACATCAAAATAAAAAAAGGCTCAACACACATGAATCATTTGAACATTACAGAGAAATAAGAAGAGAATATAAACGATGTGCACGCTCAGCTCTCAGAGATTACAGAATAGAGATGGAGAAACAGATAGATGATGATCCAAAGAAATTTTTCAAGCACGTGAATTTCAAAAAAGGGAAAAGTGAAGATCTACCACATGAGATGACTTATTTGAATGAAAAAGCAAGCGATCAATTAACAATTGCTAGTTTTTTTGCAAAACACTTTGGCACCGCTTATAGCTCTTTACAAGGTGATCTGCAATATGACAGCTCGGAAATAGAAAAAATACGTGATATTTGTGCTGAAATATCAATGATCGAAATAACCGAGGAGCTTGTAGGTCAACATATAAGCATGCTGCCAGATGATCTTGTCTGTGGTCCTGATGAAATTCCAAACAAATTCATCAAGCATTGTTTGATTTCATTACAGGAGCCAATATCAACACTATTAAAGGAATCACTTGAAACTGCCACAGTACCGCAGTTATGGAGAACGTCATTTGTCAGACCAGTTTACAAGAACGGCGATAGAAACAACGTTCAAAATTATCGCGGTGTTGCTTTGCAGTGCATTACATCAAGAATTCTTGATTCAATCGTCACAGATCATCTCAATCTATATTTGAAGAACATAGTACACGAAAGTCAGCATGGATTCATCAAGAACAGGTCAACGATAACAAATTTAGTGGAATTTACTTCAAAAACTATTATTAACATGGGAAGAAGACATCAAACAGACGCCATCTATTTAGACATAGCCAAGGCCTTTGACTCGGTTAACTTAAATTTACTTATTCAAAAACTTGAAATCATGGGATTGAATGAGCAGCTGTTAAAATGGATCAAATCTTACTTGTCTGGTCGCAGACAAATTGTAAAGATTGCAGATATCAAATCCGACCCAATCGAAGTTACTTCTGGGACGGGTCAAGGATATCCCATTGGCGCTACTTTGTTCATCATGTTTGTAATAGATCTACCTTTCTTCGTGACCAATTCTACCATACTTTCATTCGCTGATGATACAAAAATTTCAAAATGTATCACCTCAACAGATGACTGCATTAATCTTCAAAATGACTTGGATCGTATAGCGGATTATTATAGACGCAATTTATTAAAACTAAATGTAAACAAAACAAAGATCATATCATATCATCGGGGATCACTGCAATATGAATACAAATACAACATAGGCGGCGTGCAAATTGAAAGAGTCTTTATAATAAGGGACTTGGGAGTGTTGCTTGATGTGCAAATGAATTTCAAATCACACATTGAGCATGTCACGGCTAAAGCCAAATCAAGACTGGCTTGGTTAAAGTTCTACGGCAAGGATTTCGTCGATCCATGGACAATTAAACGCCTTTATTTTACATTTGTATTACCAATCATCGAATATGGATCGGAAATATGGAATCCACACTACGACAATATGTGCAAAAGAATAGAGTCAATACAAAAACAATTTTTACTTTATGCGCTAAGGAGAATGAACTGGGATGGCTATAGACTTCCAAAATATGAGCATAGACTGCTGTTTCTACAAATGATTACGCTGGAGGAAAGACGGAAGATGGCGCAAGTGTCTTTCATCTTCAAAATTATTAATGGAGATATGAAGTCAACTCATATATCAAACAGTTTAAATTATTATAATTCAGCGCATAATACCCGTGCAATACCGCTTTTTAATATTCCAGTTAGGGGAAGTGATTACACAAAATATGAACCAATTAATTATATGCTTATTACATTCAATGATTATTATACAAAGAAAATACCAAATTGTGATACTAATTTGATTGATTTAGAAGTAAATTTATCGACGGTAAAGCTGTGAATTGAGAAATATTTGAAAGAAAATAGATGAATTGTAAACATAAATGAAATCTTTTTATAAAAATTATTATTTATCTCTTTCAAAACTGCTTGATGCAAGAATTTAATCATATTGTACGAGGGTCACTATTTAAGTTTTTTCAAAAACATATATAAGACAATGGGGTTTCATCGAAAATGGTTTTATTGTTTTTCAAAGTATTCGCCATGATGATCAATACACTTTTGCATTCGCTCGAACCATTTGTCATAGCATTCATGCCACTCCGAAAGTGATATCTCCAAAACGTGTGTTTTGAACGCATCAACTGCTTCTTCTGGCGATGAAAATCGTTGACCACGCAGTTTATTCTTCACGCTCGGGAATAAAAAGAAATTGTTGGGTGCCAAATCAGGACTGTACGGCGGATGACCCATTAAATCGA